TTCTAGAAATCATGTTAAAAACGCCGGTAGGATTCGAACTTGCGTCCCCTAGAGGAAACCGCGATTAGATCAGACGCACCTGAAACCTCTCGGCCACGTAGGACCTGATCAACAAAGCCGGATTATTATTTTTGACCACATATCTTTCCCGATTCTCGAAATATACATATATGCCTTGTTTCATATTTTAGGAAATGAATTAAATCTAACAATATATAAGGTAATAAAGCCACTAAGACGCAAGGTCGTCTTGATTGGGAGAGATTATGAGAAAGAAAATACTATTAAAGGTAGGGAATAATAAAAAACAGGAATTAAGAAGACTGATGAAACGATTGATATTGCATTTACATTTTTGAACATCAAAAGTGACTAAGACCTAGCTGCCAATCAAGTGCTGCGCTTAAATACTAAAGTCGACGTAGTAAGAGAGGAAAGCAATATTTATTTTGATATAATACAAAAATGTGGCATAATCTGAAGGTTGGTCTTCAAACTTAGCTAGCCACAATTACTGATCCAAACATACTACAGTCTTCCTTATACAAAAACAACCAATTCTTACTTACCATTCTTACTACAGCCACCATAATACATCCAAGTCTCTATGAAGACCTTACTAGTTCCCAAAGAGGAAAGCAATATTTATTTTGATATAATACAAAAATGTGGCACAAGGCCAACAGGGGAGATAGGGGAAGGCTGGTTTTCAATCTGTTTTAACTTAGCTACTGCGATTAGTGATACAAAAATACCAAACTATTCCTTACTCCAAAACAACACATTCTTACCATTTTTATAACAGTCACCATAATACCTCAGAGTCTCTATGATGTTGTAACTAGTTCCCATATGTACAATTTGTCATGTACCAAAGAGGAAATTTTGTCAGAACATTTACCATGAAAGTATTCATAGAAATATCACAGGGAAGCTACATTACGGTGGTAGGAGAACTGATTGAAGCCGAGATAGCAGACGAGGACTGAAAATATATAGAAGGAGTAACAGACAAAATCTTGCAGGAATATTCAATGCATCGACGAATAATAAAGTTATAAATATGTTAGACAAATTCTGGAGAAAATACTGAACCAAATTTCCGAATAGCAGACTTTTTCGAAATGCAGATTTCGAAATGCAGATTTCGAAATGCAGATTTCGAAATGCAGATTTCAAAGTGCGATTTACTTTTAAGGTACACGGTCATATGTTGTGCATCCATTTGGTCTATTACGCATAATTGGATGATATTCGCAGACTTCAATGCAAATTTCGGGAACAAAAGAAGCTAATTGGATGCCTCTTATGGCTAAATATTTCAGAAAGACATTAATTCATATTGACTTTTTGCCAGTATTAGTACCGCTCAGGCAACTTATCTCAATTTGGAGGTAATTATAAAATTTTTCCTCATGTCTTGTTTAATATAAACTTTTTTTTTTATTTATCTAAGCCGTCTGTTCAGGTTAATAAATTTCTGTTAAGGATCTGTGTATTTAAATATTTCCATGTGTATCTTTAGCATTACAGGTAATTTTGTATGAAATAAGTCTAGAATCCAAATTACCGTATTTTTCTGAATATAAAACATATATGTTTATATTTATTTATGGTAAAATATATTATATGAAATATCTAAACAGAAATACGTGAAATATAGTGTAAAAACTAATTGGCTGCTTTTTTTAGCTATTTTTTTTTACTCACATAATACATTCAAGGCAGTAAAGCCACTAAGGCAAAATGGATTACTAAGTGTTAAAGAAGAAATAATAAGCAGCAAGGATAATAGAAGAGTAATCATGAGGACAGTAAATAGCGATTGATATTGCATTTAAATTTCTGTAGCTTAAAGTTGGCTGGAAATCACGGAACCGAAAGGCCACAAGGAAGGCAATAAAGCCACTAAGACACTAGGGGTTACTGGGTGTAGAAAAATTAGTAACAGAAACATTAATAATGATCGGGAAGAGGAAAGAGTAATTAGAAGTAGATAGCGATTGACATTGCATTTAAATTTTTAATTGGCTCTCTCGCTTGCTTAAACTCAACGTTGATTCTGATTCCGCAGAACTGGGTTGGTTGTGAAAAAGTATTTGTTGTTAACATTCTTTTTTCATTCGTTTTTTTTCCAGTTACGAGTCCTTTTTAAAAATGATCGTTTTGTGTTCATTTTGTTTATTTCTTTTTTTTAACAGATTTAATGTTTAGTATAGAGCTTAGAAAAAATTCGCAGTGTGAGATAGGCAAGAAGTAAGGCATGTAGCAACATCAGCACGGCAAAGGGCACTCCTTTAAAGGCAAGGAAGGGCAAAAATATTTTAAGTCAAGTGATAGCGATTGCTGTATGAGTCGTACGATTTTTGAATCAAGCACGGGCAACGCCGGGCCATGCTGCTAGTATATATATATTGCTTTAGTGTGAATCATTGGCAGATTGATATTAGGTTAACAGAAAGTTTAACGTTAAATCTTAAATATGAACTAGCCTGACTTAGGTTTTGGTGTCAAGTTGAAATTGTTGCTCTCCTCACTAACGAGGATGAATGATGTAAGATTTTGATCCTATAACTTCGCTTATTAAAATGTTTAAATCGAAGTAACAATAGAGTGAGTCAGATATACTTGATAACAAGGTACTACGCATATTAAAAAATTGCGGCAACATAGTTTTACGGCAAAAATCCTATACGGCGACTTTCCTACGGCGAAAATTCCTAAGCTAATTTTTCCTAAAGCAAAAATGTTTAAGGCGAATATTCCTCGAATCGGTAAATTGTGCTAGACACATTTTTTTCTCTCTAGAATCTATCATACATATTTATAGGACTACTATTTGACCATGCTTAGAATATTGCTGCCACATATGATTTGGTGCTCCTGCTATATATTTACACAGATACAGAGAATAATCCGCTTTATTAATTGTCCTGATATGGCATCTCAGCTTCAGTCTGATTCTCACCATCATAAGGTTAATTCTCTGTGCTTTTTCTATGAATACTTTCATGGTAATTGTTCTGATGAACTTTCCTCTTTGGTACCTAGACATTATGAATTTAAGTGCAGTGCTAGATTGGCGGTTAGGTCTCATCATTTTACAGTTGAATTAGCTAGAAATAAACGTAAGTTCTATGCTAAAAATTTCTTCTAACACACTTTTCGCTTGTTGAACTCTCTTCTGGCTAATTACTTACTAGCCAACTTTGATCTTCCGAAATTTAAATGCAATGTCAATCGTTATCTACTGTCTTCTTGATTACTCTTCTTCCATTGTTCGCGCTCCTTAATAACGTTAAAACCCTTTATTTTGGTAAATTAAATTTATTAATACGTTAATTGCATATTTTGGATATTTGAACCTTTTAATAATGCCGTCTAATTTTTTTGGTAGAGTTACCTTTGACCGTTCTATATTAGAATACATATAATTCATTTTGGTAAATAATCTCAAATATATTCATAATATCATAGATGTTGGAACACCTTTTTTTATAATAATGTTCACCTTGTAGAAGGCTCAACAGCCACTTGTACAGTGTTACAGAGTAAGAGGTACAGTTTATGCGGGATAGTTTGGAAAGATACCGGTGAACGCTGGAATTTTTTTAATCATTTCACCCAAAACAAGGCGCTAATGCCCCTAAGATGCAAGGGGCTACTAGGAGTGAAAGAGAATGTAAGGACTTTAGAAGGAAACCCAATCCTAAACAGTGAACCAGGGATAAACCTCTACACCTGTTCAAAAGACCGGAGGAATAAAAAACCAGGCGATAGGCAAACATATCTACTTCTTACTGAAATAAGAAAAAGGATAAATAGTAAATAAAATTGCCGGGTCTAGGCGATGTTAGAAGTCTAGAGTTGATGTAAACTTTAGAAGGAACCGGAAATCCATTCCTAAACAGGAAACAAAGGATAAACCTCTACTCCTTTCCAAAAGACCTGAGAGGTATACGAACCAGGCGATAGGCAAACCTATCTACTTCCATTGAAATAAATAAAAAAAACGGATAAATATTAAATAATATTACAGGATTTAGGCTGAGATGTTAGAAATATAGAGTTGAAGTAGACTTTAGAAGGAACCGGAAACCCAATCCTGAACAGGAAACAATGGATAAATGATATGTCCCGGAAAGGGATATATTTGAACGAAGTAGCTAAGTGGTTTTGGCTACTATAACCAAGTAGAATACGGTAGCAGTAATCGACTGGTACGCGTTCAGACGGTGAAAAGGAAATGTAAATGGAACCGGAAACCCAGTCCCAAAAAGGAGGAGGGATATATATCTACTCCTGTTCAAAAGGCCGAGGAGGGTGAACTGTACAATAGCCGAATTTATGTAATCCTGAACATGTTCAGAGGACTCTAGGGAGTTGGTTACACAAGTTAATCTCTTCGATCTCATCACCCATACATCTGGTCACCAAAGTCCCCAGACTGCAACCTTCCTTGATTATAATGCGTGGCCTGCAGTTGATCGAGAGACCAACACAACTCCTTGTAGCACCAAAGATGAACTGAAGGCAAAGATTATGGTAGCATTCACCAAATTAAACAAGGAGACCGTATAGAAGAGCTGCAGGAGATTCCATAGACATCTGGTGGCGATTTTATTGAATAAATTTACTATTTAGTCTCTCAGGATATGTTTGTGTAATTTTAGTAAATATATCTGTTAAAAAGATATATGATTTTCATTTTTGAGTCATTTTGACGACATTTGATCCATCGCAACCTGTATAATAAAGATTGTGTGTTGTCCTAAGAAAGTATTCTCATTAGAAACCTAATTCTTGTTGCTTGATAGATTCCTTCATAAAACTTGCCGCTAGAACGTAGTTAATTGAAATAAAATGCACAAGACTGAAAACAAATGGAGAATCAGATCGAGGCAAATTAATGGGACATGTACGTGGAGAAATTCCCACGCGGCGGAAGTGGGTTTTGGGGGCGAAACATTAACAAATAGCATTTCTCAGTGGCAGAATATTTAGTTGAGTGTGTCTGAGATGGAAACATGCTGGGGAAAAGATGAGTGGAGTGGGAAGATGTGAAACAAAGTAATGGGGGAAAAGACAATGAAAACTGAAGAGATAGATAGATAGATAGATAGATAGATAGATAGATAGATAGATAGATAGATAGATGAACAAACTGAGATAGATATGAACAGAATGAGATAGACAGATAGATAGATAGATAGATAGATAGATAGATAGATAGATAGATTTATGAACAGACTGAGATAGATAAACAGACTGAGATAGATAAACAGACTGAGATAGATAGATAGATAGATAGATAGATAGATAGATAGATAGACAACAAATATAGATAGATAGATTTGTAGATAGATAGATAGATAGATAGATAGATAGATAGATATGAACAGACTGAGATAGATAGATAGATAGATAGATAGATAGATAGATAGATAGATAGATATGAACAGACTGAGATAGATAGATAGATATAGATAGATAGATAGATAGATAGATAGATATATAATAGATATGAACATATGAGATAGATAGATAGATAGATAGATAGATAGATAGATAGAGATAGATATGAACAGAATGAGATAGATAGATAGATAGATAGATAGATAGATATGAACAGACTGAGATAGATAGATAGATAGATAGATAGATAGATAGATAGATAGATAGATAGATAGATGAACAAACTGAGATAGATATGAACAGAATGAGATAGATAGATAGATAGATAGATAGATAGGTATGAACAGACTGAGATAGATAGATAGATAGATAGATAGATAGATAGATAGATAGATAGATAGATATGAACAGAATGAGATAGATAGATAGATAGATAGATAGATAGATAGATAGATAGATAAACACTCTGAGATAGATAGAGAGAAAGAGAGAGAGACAGACAGACAGACAGGAATATTAGCCACAACACAGACACCAAACTGGTTCTTGATAATGACTGCAATATTTCAACAAGCCTAACAAAATGTGACCTGCAGTCAGTTTATCCACTGCTATAAACACAATACTCAATACACCTTATTCGCAAATTGGTAAAAATATAATGAAAGATGAAACAGACATTGCTGTTTCTTTTTAAACAATTCTGTTTACTCGAATAAAAATGTAACGCCTAAAAATAACGCATTAAAAAATAAAAATCGCATTAATAAAAATCACTTCTAGAAATTTTCTTTGTTTATGTTTGAATACGAAACATTTTATTTCTTTATTTTTAAACTATTTCACCCCAAGCAAGGCGGGAGTGCCACTATCACGCAAGGGGTTACAGAGGGTGAAAATAAGAGTAAAGAGGGAGGGGTTACAGAGAAGGAAAAGTAAAAGTAAAGAGGGTTGTTTGGGGACAGGATAAAGAGAAGGACAGGGATCAAGATCAAGGCATCAGAAGATGTCGATTGACATTACATTTGAATATTTGAAGATTATAGTTATCAGGGAAGCAAGTAAGAGGAAGGGAGTTCCACTGTCGGGAAGTGCGAGAGAAGAAGCTGTTGGAGTAGAAGAGGAGGTTACATCTAAACGTTTCGGCAGTAAAAGGGTGGGACCGACATGCCAATGTAGTAGCAGGCTTAAATTTATGCAGTTGGGGTACCAGTGAAAGTAATTCGTCAGTGCAGTTGCCATGGAAATATTTGTAGAAAAGCCAGTGAGAAGCCACATCACGTCTGTGAGAAAGTGACTGCAGATAAGATGCCAGATCAGGACCTATTACATTGCATATCCGTCTCTAGATTTTGCCTACAACCTCGAGATGAACAGTGAGGGAACACCAGAAAATAAATGGCAACAGAATTCAACTTTCCTTTTTAAATATGAAAAACATCGAATATCAATAATCTAGATGTTTCGCTTGAAAGCACGAAATTGTCTTCTCCTGACCGTCTCATTCTTTGAACCCAAGGGTCTCCCCCACCCCCACTGAGGAATACAGGTTCGATTCATTTAATATGATTACTCGAATATTCTGGCCGGGAGGTGAAAATAAAAAAATAAACATATTGTAACAGAGACCCTATGCTAATACGAGTATTCACTAAAATGAATCAGATTAATAAAAGTATATTCTCCCACCCTCTCTCTCTCTCTCTCTCTCTCTCCATATATATATATATATATATATATATATATATATATATATATATATATATAGAATAAAATTATTTAAATGGGAATAACTGTTGATAATTGGGTACATAAAAACAACCACAAGGTTACTTAATGAACAAAAATCAAATATATTTATATATATAAATTGGATTGCTCTTTCAATGTTCTGTCTATGGATTTTTCCAATCGACTGTTTCAAAGAAAATACCCAAAACTACACCGAATTTCAAATTAATTTCTTCGTAGATTGTTTTAAAATTTAGATATTTATCAAACCTTAACCTCCCAAATATTCACGTTAAAGTAACGCGAAGTGACAGCGTCTAAGAATTTGAATGAAACCTGTCGTGTAATTTATTGGGGTTGTTGTAACGTCTCCCTTTAATGTAGTCCTTATCGCTCACCCCTTAACCACCTTTATCTAGAGATGAGACGCGTTAAATTTGAGCAACATCCAGCCGACACACTGGGTTTAAAATAGGAAACTAAAATGATACATATGACACACTCATATCCTCTCTCCCCACCTCACTTCCTCACTTCGTTAACTTTGCGTATACTTGATGAGGTCCGTAAAAAACGTGTGAATTTCTTTTTCATTTTTTTATTTTCAGCTTTTGGAAGTAAAGTCTGATGATCCAGAACCCTGTTAAAGGGGTTAGGTGAAATAGCTTATTACATGGAATCTTAACGTGGTCTGTCTTTTATTCAAAACATATCTGCTCTGAATTTTACATTGAGCTCTCTGGATATCATCCTCCTCAGATCTACCCATACGGATTACCTAAATTTGCATAAACTATATATATATATATATATATATATATATATATATATATATATATATATATATATATATTTTTAACCGTTAGGTTAAAAAACAGTGCTCAATACATAAGTAGAGCCATAAATTGATAATGAAATAGAGCTGTTTTTAGCATTCATTTTTTTGAAACAAAACGAGAACTATTTATGTAGCGATGGAATCATATTTTTAAAAATGAATTAATATATATATATATATATATATATATATATATATATATATATATATATATATATATATATATAAATATTTAGAGGTTTTGGGAAGCATTGAAGCAACTCTAAATTGTTGTTGTTACCAGTTCCACAATGATCCGGCGTGGTAACACCTGTTGGGGTCCCAGAAACTGGTAAACAGTCCACCAGGCGGATGCTAATTACAGTTTTTTGTAATCCATATTTTAATAAGAACATGTAATCTCCTTTTAATTATAGAATTTATTTTAAAAATTAATATTCTCCACTGAAATATATAATTTTGAGTTTTCTTTTTTTTACGTACATATATAAATACCGCTTATTTTAATTCCTTAATATAATTTTAAAATTATTAAAAAAATATATAATCCCAGCATAATACAGAACGACGCAAACATTGTGATAATCAGATATATTTTAATTCAAAATTGCGTAACGGTCAGTTAAATAGTCAGCACCTGAAAATTGCGTCAAAATTATGAAACCCAGAAAACGTGCAAGCGATTGAGAGATTATATGTATATTTATTAATATACAATATATATATATATATATATATATATATATATATATATATATATATATATATATATATATATATATTTTTCGTCCGCGTCGTATACACGAGTTAATCGTTTTGCTTTGAAATTTTTCATGCAAAAAAAAACAGACTATCATTATTGTTCCGTGTATTGGTTGATATATTGAAAAGTAATTGTCATCTTTGATAATGGCTTATGTAAGCCGAAAGCTTAGATTGGATTTAAAGATGTATCAATATGGTGATTTCCTTTCGTCTTTCAATGATAATGTTATTAAGTTTATCAGACAATATGAAAGGAACTTTTAATTTTTTAAAATAAATAGACAAAACTTGTCTATATTATTTAATGAAACATGCATCAATGAAAAATTGCGGCCTGTATATATATATATATATATATATATATATATATATATATATATATATATATATATATATATATTTCATTAAAATAAAAAGACATGATACTATGTTTATGGTTTTCATTTAATTTTTTCTTGTGTTCGAACAAGAGCTTTCTTTTTTGGACACTGAGTAGAAACTGTCTAAATGTTAGTACGCTTTCGGCTATACTTTTATCCATTATCAAGGATCATTTTATTTTTTTTCAGTTTAATTGAGTGTGTGCATTGTGTGTATGGTTTTTTAGTGTGTTATATAGATTTCTTTTTCCGAACAAGGAATAATAATATTCTTAAGAGTTGGCTTTTTCTTTTTTATTATTAAATCTTCCATTATTTGTAATCATTTTTTTTTTACAGGTGGATGTAGTTATTATGTTTGTGTTTTCTACAAGTATGTTTCGAATGGAGTCTGGTAGGTTTGTGTGTGTGTTTAAATGCCTTCTAACAGAGCTCTGGTCAGATAGTTGTCAGGTAAGGCGTCTCGATAGGCATGTAGTTGTGTGACTAATGTAATTATTTATTAGTTCGGTTTGATCAGGAACACAGTTCCTTAAGGGGCATTTGAACTCATAATGTTCGTTCTTTGTAATTTTGACTTAGCTGGTGTGTTGTTATTTTTGAGGATAAGGTTAGCTGTCTTAAGTTTTTTTATAATAGATAATTTGACTTTTTTTTATTCGGGTTGATTGGGTTCATTATAATATTTCTAAGTGAAGATTCATCTTATTTGTAGTTAATGTGCATTTGGTTTTTGTAGAAAACATTTATGTAATTTTGAGTTCACTATACAGCCAAAAATTAAATAAAAAGTTTCCTTGTGACGCGCTTCGTCCTTCAGGACATCACCGGGCTAAATTTGTTATGTTGGTAAGACTACATATGCGCACGACGAGTGCTGGGAATTTGGAGTATTTTTTTTTCTTTTTCTTTCCATCACTTTAGTAAGTAGGTATTCCACCCCGTGATAGTAGAATATCTGTCAGGAATGATGAAATGTTGTAAGAGCCAGGACGCAGATTTACTGTAGATGATCTTGCAATCAAGGCACTTTTTATACATTGACGTCGCGGTGAATTATTTCCTCAATCGAAGTAACATTTTATGTCAAAATTGTAGAGAGTCTCAAATTTACGGTGGCCAACACACACACACACACACACAAACACACACACACACACACACACATATATATATATATATATATATATATATATATATATATATATATATATATATATATATATTTAAATAAATTGTTGGAGGTACAAAACCGTAGTATTGCAAGGAGTAGATACATATTATTTCCTAATTAAAAATGATTTGTTTTTTTTCCCCTCATACCATTAATCATTTCATTTTTTAATGTTTTAATTGTATTAGGGTGTTTTTGTGAATTAATATATATTGCAATAATTGTTAAATTGTTCCCAGTCGACCCTGATGAGCTTGGGAACGAAACCAGTTGGTCTGTTCTGTAAGTTTGTTATCATCTCTTATTTTTTATTTTTCATAATGCCTTTAGGAAATATTTTTTTATCTCTTCCTTTAATATATATATATATATATATATATATATATATATATATATATATATTACCTGAAAAAAATATGAATAAAACATATGTATATATTGAGAATTTCTATTACCTAAAGGTTGCATTAGCAATAAACTCTGAGTTTGTACTAAATATATATATATATATATATATATATATATATATATATATATATATATATATATATATATATATATATATATATAAATATATAATGTGTGTGTGTGTATTATTTAATGTTCTTTTGTTTTGCATCATCAATATATATATAAATGAGCAAAGGTAAAAGGGACTGAGGTATTCTCATTGAAATTACCATTTTTAATAGAAAAAATTGAAAAATGTAGAAACCAAAAGCCTTGAAGACTGGAAATCTTACCAAGAAACTTTGAAGTCGGGATAAAAATGATATTTAAAAGTGAAGTAATCTTTTCGTATAATATCAATAACGCTCTATCTTTACTATTACAGTGTAACCCGGATATAAGAGAGTTGTCGGGACCGGAGAAAAAGTCTCTTATATCCGGGTTTGGTCTATTTTATATACATTAACACAGGCTCTAATTTGGGACCAGAGAAAATCTCTCTTATATCCGGGTTTCTCTTATATCCGGGTCTCTTATATCCGGGTTACACTGTATTTTAATATCATTAAGATTGAGCATTATATACATTATTTACATTATTCGAACTATTTTCCCCATCTTTGTCGCCATATTTATTACAAAGTTTCGGCCGTTTTACTCTCCAGCCTTCTTCAGGTGGTTGGAATGTCGAACTGAACCCTTTATTTCGCTCACTGGGTAGACTGTTCTAGTTCCACATGACATGTTTAATGGATGTCAGTTATCAGTTATCTCCTGTTAATTTCCCTCCCCAAGTTCTCCACTGCCTTAACCGGGTATTGAACTCACACCCTTTGGGTCCTGTCACTGGATCTAACCAACACCTTTATCCATTGTGCCATGTGTCCGAAAAGTTGTAATAAATATGGCGACAAAGTTAAGTTGGTCCGAATAATGTAAATAGTACATTTATATAAATTCACCAAAAAGTAAACGTTGTAATATAGATGAGGATATAGTTCGAATAATGTAAATAGTGTATCTCAGAAATATAGACAGATACTGAAGGGCCGAAACGTTGTAATAAATATGGCGACAAAGATGAGGACAATAGTCCGAATAAGGTAAATAGTGTACATAATACCTCATCTCAGAAATATAGACAGATACTGAGCATTATATATATAAAAATATCTGCTATTTCTAAAATCTTAAATCTTCCCCCTCCCCCCACCAAACATAATCAAACACGCATAAATAGATACATTTAAAAAAAAAAATAAAACACTTTGTCTGATGTTCGAAAATATAACCATATCCATACTGAATATGTTAGATTTATTACTGATATTGATTGCTTTCCACTAAGTACTGCGCATATAAAATAAAGTGTGTGTGTGTGTGTAGGAGGCACGGTGGAGTAGTGGATTGAGGAATTGGAGAGCCGAGTTCGAATTCCAGTCGAATCCATTACATTCACTTACATGTTAATACCCTTGGAAAAGGTATGAACCCTCATCTTCTCCACGCCTTCTCTCCGAGCTATGGTTAAATAGCAGAACAGACCGAGTTCTAAAACCTTGGATGGCAACTGGTCTAGGAGAAGGGCATCTTTGAATTTAAAACATGCGAAGGGTCGTTTGGGGACCTTGTGGTACGTGGTGCACCAGGTCTCTGTATTCGGCTCTTGAAAAAGTGTGGTTGGTTCTGCACAAAGCCTTCACCCCCATAATGAAATCATAAGGTGCTGGTGTCTGGGCTTAACACTCATACGTCGAATACGACGGGAGAGTCCACCATATATATGCATATCAGCATTCTAATCTTTGCCATTTTATTTAATTTTTAAGTGGCACCGGTGCGAAATATATAACAATCTTGACTACCAAGCAGCTGTTGGTCCGTATCGGGTGAAATTCCTAGGAAAACTAGAACATTTATCATTGATGTTCCTTCTAGTTTATTAAATTTCAGAATCGAAATATGAAGGGTAAAATGTCTTTTAGGTTTTAGTGGAATCAAGGAAGGTTTACCAGAATGCATAGCAGAGAAATTTCAATTTGTCTTTATTAACTCTTTTGTCACTGATCAAAGAGAGAAAGCACTTCGAAGAATTTAGCCCGTATAATGGAGGAACAAATCTAAACAGATGAGTTTAATTTCCCGTGTGGAAATGGTTAGCTTACAGAGAAATCAAATCTTATGTTAAATCATGTTCGTAGGAGTAATGACATAAAAGTTTGAAAAAAAAAAGACAGAGAGACATAAAGAGGAAAAGAAAGAAAGAAAGAAAGAAAGAAAGAAAGAAAGAAAGAAAGAAAGAAAGAAAAATATGATTAAGGGTACTAAAAGAAAGAAAGAAAGAAAAAAGAAAGAAAGAAACGAAAAAAGAAAAAAAAAAAAAAAAAGAAAGAAAGAAAGAAAGAAACATGATGAGATCAAAGAAGAGAGACTGGAGCGAAAGAACAACTTTGAATAGAAAGAAAGAAAGAAAGAAAGAAAGAAAGAAAGAAAGAAAGAAAGAAACATGATGAGATCAAAGAAGAGAGACTGGAAGGAAAGAAAAACTTTGAATAGAAAGAAAGAAAGAAAGAAAGAAAGAAAGAAAGAAAGAAAGAAAGAAAGAAAAATATGACTATGTTTACTAAAAGAAAGAAAAAAAGAAAGAAAGATATGATTAAGAGTACTAAAAGAAAGAAAGAAAGAAAGGTATGACTATGTGTACTAAAAAAAGAAAGAGAGAAAGATGAAGAATAACCGAAAGAAAGAAAGAGGTAGAAGACATACGTGAAAGGGAAAGAGAGATAAAGAAAATAGAAAGAGGGAAAATGCTTGAGAGAAAAAGAAAGATTGAAGGGAAAAGAGAGAAAGTGAAAGAAAGATAGAAATAAAAGAGAGAGACGGATAATGAAGAACGAATACGAGAAAGAAATAGAAAGAGAGAGAGAGAGAAGGGGATGAAAAGTGAAAGAGGGAAAATCATTGAGAGAAACAGAAAGGTAAAAAGACAGAAAATGAGAGAAATAAAGAAAAAGAGAGAGAAAGAAAGAACGAAGAAGAATATGAGTAAGGGTAGTGAAAGAAAGAAAGAAAGAAAGAAAGAAAGAAAGAAAGAAAGAAAGAAAGAAAGAAAGAAAATAAGGAGGACTGGAAAGAAAGAAAGAAAGAAAGAAAGAAAGAAAGAAAGAAAAAAGAAAGAAAGAAAGAAACTAAGGGTATGACTAAGATATGAAAGAAAGAAAGAAAGAAAAAAAAGAAAGAAAGAAAGAAAGAAAGAAAATAAGGAGGACTGGAAAAGAAAGAAAGAAAGAAAGAAAGAAAAAAAAGAAAGAAAGAAAGAAAGAAAAAGAAAATAAGGAGGACTGGAAAGAAAGAAAGAAAGAAAGAAAGAAAGAAAGAAAAAGAAAGAAAGAAAGAAAAAAAAGAAAGAAAGAAAGAAAGAAAGAAAGAAAGAAATAAATAAAAAAAGAGAAAGAAAGGTATTAAAAGAAAGTAAAAAAAGAAAGAAAGAAATAAAGAAAGAAAAACAAAGAAAGAAAGAAATTAAAGAAAGAAAGAAAGAAAAAAAAAAAGAAAGAAAAGAAAGAAAGAAAGAAAGAAAGAAAAGAAAGAAAGAAAAAAGAAAGAAAACATATGACTAAGGGTACTGATAGTAAGAAAGAAAGAAATATAGAAAGTCGAGAGAAAGAAAGATATTACTCAGGGTAGTGAAAAAAGAAAGAAAGAAAGAAAGAAAGAAAGAAAGAAAGAAAGAAAGAAAGAAAGAAAGAAAGAAAATAAGGAGGACTGGAAAGAAAGAAAGAAAGAAAGAAAGAAAGAAAGAAAGAAAGAAAGAAAGAAAGAAAACATATGACTAAGGGTACTGATAGTAAGAAAGAAAGAAATATAGAAAGTCGAGAGAAAGAAAGATATTACTCAGGGTAGTGAAAGAAAGAAAGAAAGAAAGAAAGAAAGAAAGAAAGAAAGAAAGAAAACATATGACTAAGGGTACTGATAGAAAGAAAGAAAGAAAGAAATATAGAAAGTCGAGAGAAAGAAAGATATTAATCAGAAAGGAGGAAAGAAAGAAAGAAAGAGAAAGAAAGAAATGTCTATAAGCAGAAGAAGAAATTAAAAAAATGAAGGCAGTAAGTTAAACTTTCCCGTCATCATCTGTCTTTTTTGTCCCGTTATCATTTCTCGTTGAATGTTTCAATAACTCATTCAGCCCGAGTTCTTCCTTTGCACACCACACGGCAAAACACGAAATATAAATTAATTTCTTTATCAAACGCCCACCCCCACATCACAATCGTTGAAAATTACTGCCAAATGACAAAAGACTTCGTTGTACCAACGAAATTTTTTAGCCCACTTGGCATCTAACATAGAGAACAGGCGAAATATCCAAGGGCGAATAAAACTCGTCAAACACTGGTCGATTGGCAGGAAAAGAATCACCATTTTCCATGTCGATGACTTCCAATCAACATGGGCATTTATTTTGCCAAGCACCGAATCCTGAACGTTAAGGTTAGTGGCCTTTTGGCTTCGGTAATCGTTCGCAAGCCGCCAGCTATCAAGTTAAATCTGGACATTGCACGCCAATCATGACGCCTGAAAGTATTTTGCTATATGTAGAAATCGCCATGAAAAGAAAAAGGTTTGGCGGCAGATCCGGCGTAAAAAATAGAGTCGTTTATATATATATATATATATATATATATATATATATATATATATATATATATATATATATATATATATATATACCGACCAAAGTTTGGGACCGCGTTGATTTTTCCTCTGAACTTAAAAAAAGAATCAAGTTTCAAATCTTTGAAGAAAAAAATGATCTTTCTATATTTGCGTGTAATTGTGCAATAATTTAGATTAAAATCATCTTTTTCTGCCAACATTTGCACTAATTTCTGCGTGTCGTTCCAGGAAATAATGTACCCTATTTGTAATTTTCTAACAGACGGGCTTTCGGAGTACACTTCTATAGAAAGAATTTCGACATGGGCTCTTTTTTCAATACTAATGTATTTAGTTCTTGGCATTTTAACTTTTTCTGAAAATTAATTTCGATCGCGTATTAATCTACATGGAATTATACCTCTAACAAGCAGTGGAATTGAATTATTTGTAAATTTCTGCTCTACAGTTCAGAAAGGGTATCAGGTTGTAACAAAATTTCCAAAAGCTTATGCAAATAAATTTACAATATTTATAGAAATATCTGTTTGCATGTTATATAAAAGTAATGGTATATATAGACAACACAACGTTACTATTAAACATGACATTATACTGTATGTTTCTTTTACAAAGGTGGATGCTTTTTTCTTTAATAATATTTCTAGAATATCCAGGCTTGTAAATGTGAGGTCTACTCAAATATGGATGTCTAATAAATTTTACGTTTAAATTGACAAAAATCGGTCAGATTAACACAGAAAAATCTATTATTACTTTAGAAATTTTAACGTTTGTTTTTCTTTACGTTTCGTTTATATAAAGGTTTTAGTATAAAAATAATAGGTGAATTTATTTATCCAAATATGCAATATTAAACTTTTTTATGAACTTAGAGAAACAATTCAGAGTTGTCCCAAATTTTTTGTTATTGATTTTGTATTTATGTGTCAGAAATGGAAAATTTCAATTATTTTTAGAAGAGATCAACTTATATCAACAATTCTAATCTTGGCCCAAAATTGAAACAATGTATCAATGTCGGACTAGGCTGGGTATCAACATCGTCCAATGGCAAGTTGGTCTCTGATAGAATGAGCTCCTATATAAAATAACAATGCAATAAAGAAACAAACACTGACAACGATTTCTGGAAAAAACGAAATGACCGGAAAATTACTCAAGTTCAATGTGAGAAGACATTTTCAAAGATTTTGGAAGAGATGCAGAAGCAACAGATAAACAATCAAAACACAAATTTGCTAATGGACTGGCCCAAAATTGAAACAATGTTACTCAATGTCGACATTTTCAAAGATAAAACATCGTCCAAGAGAATTTGGAATTATTAGATCAATTGGATTGAAGCTATTGGCTGATTCAAACAATCATCTAGCGAAAACAAATGATTGCTGGTGGACTGCTCCTTCATCAAAACTAACAAAGTTCAATGTGAACGATATTTTCAAAAAGAAAAAGACAAAGAGAATTTGAATCATACAACGATTTCTAAATTATAATCAAATGCAGAAATTAATCATCTAGCGAACACAAATTTATAAACTGCTTCATCTATCACACTATATCAGTTACTCAAGTTCAATGAGACGATATTTTCAAAGATAAAGATCATAAATAAAAGAGAATTTGAATCATACATGTTGCTATTTGGATTATTAGATCAATTGGATAGAAGCAACATTGGCTGATTCAAACAATCATCTAGCACAAATGATTGCTCTTAAATGGTGGACTGCAGATTCAAACAATCAGTTACTCAAGTTCAATGTGAGAAATATTTTCAAAGCTAAAGATCATAAAGACAAAGAGAATTTGAATCATACATGTTGCTATCCATTGAAAATAAATTATTAGATCAATTGATGCAGAAGCAACTATTGGCTGATTCAAACAATCATCTAGCGAACACAAATGATTGCTCTTTTAAATGGTGGACTGCTTCAGTCTGCTTCATCAGTATCAGTTACATTCAATGTGAGACGATATTTTCAAAGCTAAAGATCAGTTTGAATCATACATCATCCATTGAAAATAAATCAATATGAGAAGAACTATTGGCTGATTCAAACAATTTTGATTGCAAAATGGACTGCTTCAGTAAAGATCCAATAAACGATATTTTCAAAGCTAAAGATCAAAAGACAAAGAGAATTTGAATCATACATTTGCTATCCATTGAAAATAAATTATTAGATCAATTGGATGCAGAAGCAACTATTGGTTGATTCAAACAATCATCTAGCGAACACAAATGATTGCTCTTAAAATGGTATCCATCTGAAAACTATCAGTTACTCAAGTTCAATGTGAGACGATGCAAAGATCATAAAGACAAAGAGAATTTGGAATCATACATGTTGCTATCCATTGAAAATAAATTATTAGATCAATTGGATGCAGAAGCAACTATTGGCTGATTCAAACAATCATCTAGCGAACACAAATGATTGCTCTTAAAATGGTGGACTGCTTCAGTCTGCTTCATCAGCACACTATCAGTTACTCAAGTTCAATGTGAGACGATATTTTCAAAGCTAAAGATCATAAAGACAAAGAGAATTTGGAATCATACATGTTGCTATCCATTGAAAATAAATTATTAGATCAATTGGATGCAGAAGCAACTATTGGCAGATTCAAACAATCATCTAGCAAACAAAATGATTGCTCTTAAAATGGTGGACTGCTTCAGAATCATCAGCACACTATCAGTTACTCAAGTTCAATAGAAGACATTTTCAAAGATAAAGATCCTAAAGATAAAGAGAATTTGAATCCATGTTGTTATTTAAAAATAATTGATGCAGAACCAGATTCAAACAATTCTTCAGAACACAAATGATTGCTCTTAAATAAAAATAAAATCTTTATTGTGCTTTTGAAAAACATTTGTAAATCGTATATCAACAATTTTAAATAAAAAATAAATAAAACATTTTCTATTTACATTTGCTATCTACTGCCACTAATATGTACAATACACTGTATTTACTAAGAAATACATATTTTTCCCCAAAATATTTTAATTCTACCATTTTTCCATATGTATAATTTGAAAAATTGTATTTATTTTTAAGCCATCTTTGTGATCAGTGGTGGACAGACCAGTGTGCCAGCTTGCTCAATGGCAAAGGACCCTGATAAAATGAGTCCCCTATATCAAATAAAAATGTAAAAAAGAAACAAACACAGACAACTTTTTGTCATAAAAATGATTAAGAACTTTATGAAGTCATCTGAACACTATCAATTACTCAAGTCTAATGCGAGAGGACATTTTCAAAGTTAAAGATCATGAAGACATGGTTAAGAAATTTGCTGTCTGCGGAGAATTTGGAATCATATGTGTTGCTATCCATTGAAAAGGAATTTTTAGATGATTTAGATGTAGAAACAATTATTGGCAGAGTTGACAATCATTTCATGAAAACAAATGGTTGCTCTTAATAAATAAAGATGCTATATTTTGTTAATGTATAAATTGTGCAGTGAACTATTTAGAAATGTCAGCCAATTGCTTACAATTTAAAAAAGTCAATAAAATGTCATTATTATCTTAACAACCACATCCACACAAAAAATTACTACAATTTAAAAATATTGTCTTACAAAAATTATGATAAGCCGACACAAATCAAATCAGTTAATCATTCATTATTAAATTTATTAAGGTACCTACATATTAACCTTTAAATTAAGTGCATTAACAATAAAGGGAAAAATGATAAATAATGAATGTTTACGGCGCAAAATAATGTTACTTTTCTTTTTTTTAAATTAGGCCACAAACTTGGAAATGCACCTTCATATTCAAATTTGAATTAAGTGCATTGACAAAAAAGAAGATATTGTTGAATAATGAATATTTGTGACGTAAAATAAACGTTTTTTTGGGTTTTTTTTCCACAAAAACTAGTCTAGACTTATTGATATACCTAAATATTGACGACTGCATTAAGGGCAATGACGAGAAAAAAGATAATGTTGAATAAAAATATTTATTAGCAGTAGCGGACTGGCCTGGGTACCACTTGGATGGATAGCATGTTGCCTCATGATTGAATTGGCCCTCAATTAAAAACGCAATAAAAAACAAACCCAGACAACTCTTTTAGTAATAAAATAAATAAGAACTTTATAAAGTCATCTGAACACTATCAGTTACTCAAGTCCAATGTGAGAGGACATTTTCAAAATTAAAAATCATAAAGACTGTGGAATAATGTATTATTCCATCTACGACATTTTACGCGCGTGCGAGTTTCCTCCCTTTCTGCCACACTCGTGTGTGCGCGCGCGCGTTTGACACCCCTTTCTGCCTCTTTCGGTCTAATACAGTAGTAACTGTTTTGGTCGGCAGTCAAAACGACCTGCTATTCCTGTTTATGCAAATTAGATTTTGAAATCTTCCCGCGAAAAATTTGTGACGTCAACGACAAACTGTAGTTTCAGAAAAGTTAGTTGTGATCCAGACTCGGACCTGGGCAGACACATTTTTATCCATGTCAATATTCTAGGTTGACCTACGAACGATATTCTTACAATGCGAACACCAAATAATTAATTCCTCGTCCTTTTGGCTCGTCATTCAAAGTCTTTCTCCGAGACGATGCAAAACATCCGAAATATTAATTCGTCGACCACTTTGGGTCTTGTCATAAATCTGTTTTGAACCAGTACAAAAAAAAGAAAAAAATATATATACATAACATTTCACTCACATTAGCCAAAACTCGCAGTGAGTATTTTTTTTCTTGTATGTATATTATCATGTACATTGATTTATCTGGAACCTTTCTTCTTCTTCAAGAACTTTTCCCGCCTTTAGCCATCTTGTTTTCTATTTTTGGCGCGGAACATATTCATTGATCCCTACTACGGGATAAGTTACTTGTTTTTCCTGCATTTAATAAAAAAATTACTCTTGTTTGAATCCAGTCTTTTTCTGTCATTCTGTGTCGGCTATCTTAATATATTTTATTTTATGCACTTGTGGATTTACCACATTTCTTCGTAGTTCATTCACACATTTCTATCTTTTTTTACTTTGCTTGTAGACTCGGTAGTTTAGTGTGGTGTCTGGCACAAGGCCACTTAGTAATAAACCAGCACTGCACCCTATCGGGTCTGCAACAAGACAAGGCTAAGAAATGTGTTGTCTGAGGAGAATTTGAAATCATACATGTTGCTATTCTTTGAAAAGGAATTATTAGAAGAATTGAATACAGAAGCAATTATTGACAGATTAAAGCAATCATCTCGGTGAACACAAACGATTTCTCCTAATAGACTGAAACGCAATCAATGGTCTATTGTGCTTTTGAAGTTTTTGTTAATGTGTAAATTGGGCAGTAAACTGTTTAATGAAACGAAGGATAAGCACAATTATTAAAGCAGAAGTGCGAAGATATATTATAAAAAAAACGAACGTATATCTTTATCTTTATCGTGACAAGATTAGATCAAACATTGGCTCTCTATCCAGATTTTTCACCTTCCCTGAGTGCCCCCATCCTATATCAAATAAAAATGCAATAAAGAAACAAACCCAGACAACTGTTTTAGTAATAAAAAGGAATAAATACTTTATAAAATCATCTGTACACTGTCGGTTACTCGAGTTCATTGTGAGAATAAATTTTCAAAGTTAAAGATCTTATGGTTCTAAACGAAAGTTAGTAAGGTTTTTTAAGTTAATTTCAAAGACAATATTTGCATATGTGTATGGTGATGTATTTAACGACATATCTATAACTTAAGAAATTAAGGTTAAGAAATTCGTTGTGTGAAGAGAATTTGGTATCATACATGTTGCTATTCTTTGACAAGGAATTATTAGAAGGATTGGATGCAGAAGCAATTATTGACAGATTAGAGCAATCGTCTCAGTGAAAACAAAAGATTTTCTCCTAATAGACTAAACAAAAATCAACGGTCTAGTCTGCTTTTGAATCATTTGTTTAAGATTACGGGCATATAGCGTTCAACCAGCAGTTCCTGTACGATCACCGAAGTTAAGCTTTATTGAACCTAGGCAGTACACAGATGGGGGACTTCTTCGGACTGCTTCTCAACTTACTGCGAGATGACATTTTCAAAACTAAAAATCATAAAGCCAAGGTTAAGAAATTCGTTGTTTGAAAAGAATTTGGAATCGTTCGTGTTGCTATTCATTGAAAAGGAATTGTTTGAGGAATTAGATACAGAAGCAATTATTAGCAAATTCAAACAATCATGTTGTGAACACAAACAATTTATTTTAATATAGAAGACTGCATGCAATTCTCTATTTTACTTTTGAACTATTTATTAATGCGTAAATTGTACAACAAACCAATTTAAAATATAAACCGATCACTTAAATGTAAAAAGAAATATAATCCAATTATAAAATTCTGTATTAACATTTGGTATCTACTGCCGGTAATATGTACATGTACATTGTATACATAGCTGGTCACTCGTATTTGAGACTACCCGTTTACTAGGGCGGCTATCCAATCCCTATTGCAGTCACTTACTCAGGCACATCAACACCAACTGCAACTATGCTAACCAGACCTTAGTTACCGTTTCTTGGAAAGATCGAGTTATCTAGCGTGATCAACAATCTGATCAAGGGCAGCACGCTCGGTCAAGATGACTTGTGACTTCGTGCTAGTGCAACCTCTGACTGCTGATAAGGGTTCCATCTACCCAATTTTGCTCCCAAGGCAGCGGTATGGTTATCAGGTACTTTCTAAAGGTACCTCGCGCTGGGATCGACAGATATCATGAAGAAGTCTCCTTCCTGGCAAATCGACCATGGTGAGATTTAAACCCGGATCTTATGGTCAGAATGTGAACCTTCTTACCAGCCACATGCCCACATTACATGTACATTGTAATTATTAAGAAATACACACTTTATTCACAAACACTTTAATTGTATTTTTTCTATATGTATATTTTGAATAGTTTTTATATTAATAATGAAAATTAAAGATAGCATTGTAACTGCGAGTGAATCCCATTTTGCTGGAAAGCAATATTTTAGAGTTAGTTCGCTATTATTTTCGACACAAAATAAACTTTTACTTACAGATATGTGGTTAAATACATCAACAAACACATATGCAAATATTGTCTTTGAAATTAACTTCGTTTAGAACAAATATATATATATATATATAAAAACCATTTGTTTTGCATTCAACATTATCACTTGATAAGACACCGGAAGTGTTGAAACAAAATGGCTATTTTTGTAGTGATTTTATAACATGTTTATGTTATAAATTTTCTAAATATATATATATATATATATATATATATATATATATATATGAATGTTATGAACTTATCGTTGCTGTCCACATCTATGGGTTAAATAGTAGGGTAAATTGAGCACTGTAGGCTTAGATAGCAAGCATTCTAGGAGAAGATACACTCAGAATGCAAAACCATGATACAGGCAACTGGAAAACACGCCAAAAACTTTCCTAAGAACTCTTGGCAATTTATAGTTCATAAAGAAAAAGGAGTGTGTGGAGAGCCGTGATTGCGACGGACAAAGAATAAAAACGAAGAATTATTGAAGCCTTTATCACGGCTCTACAAATTTAAGTAAATTTTAATCATTGAGTATCAGATTTTTTTTTTAAATTGAAAGAGACAAATTTTATATGCGGAACAACTTCACACACGAATATTTCTCATTATTTACATTATTCAGACTATTGTCCTCATCTTTATCGCCATATTTATTACAACGTTTCGGCCGTTATACGTTCCAGCCTTCTTCAAGTGGTTGGAATGTCGAACCCTTTATTTCGCTCACTGTTCTAGTTCCACGTGCCATGTCTAATGAATGTCAGATTATCAGTTATCTCCTGTTAATTCCTCTCTCCATGTTCTCCACTGTCTTAACCGGGTATTGGACTCACACTCTTTGGGTGTGTTTTGTCTTTGCGTCCTGGATCTAACTAACGACTTTATCCAATCTCCCATGTGAAATATAGACAAATACAAATATGTCTTTTCTCTATTTTACTAGGCCACAGAATATTTGCGTTAGTATGATAAAAAATAGAATATCGTTTACATGTGAGAGTGTGTGTGTCACGTATTTATGTAGGTCTATGTATGCGTGTAATTTTCTAGCAGTTGGAAGCCGATATACTACGTAAATACGGTAAAACATAACAGTTCAGTACTCTTTTCTTTATTTCTGTTGCTTCAAGTCTCTTATTCATCTGTGAGGAGATTGTCTAGCAATCACTAATATATAGGAGGACTGATATTACATAACAGTTCAGTACAGTCCTGTTAGTATGATACAATCCAAGGGAAAAAGGGACCCCTGGGTTTCAGTGAGAAAACCGAATGAAAGAAAACTTCCTAGTGCACTTTTTCTACCAGACTGTGCCCAACTTATCCTAATATGCTGTGTAATCAAAACCAAAATCAAAAACAAATGGTGCGCATGCGCGAACTTAAAAATATAATATGACGACACTTTAACTACCGCACCCTGTAATATATATATATATATATATATATATATATATATATATATATATATATATATATATTATAATGTTGCATCATCAATCATTTTATTGTGCACAAAGTATGAATAAAAAAATGGCGTTGATTTGTTTCTGCAGAGAGCGGTGTATTAATAAATTGCTTTGTAGATCTTGCGTAAATAAAAGATCACTGAGTGGTCGGCTGCTTCTCAATGGACAGACCTTTGTGAAGACGATGGCACTTGAAAGAAGAGAATGGAAGATCTGTAGGAAAATGGACGTTCTCTTTTTGAATGGTATTAACAGAAAAGAGCCTCTCGTAATAGCAGGCACACAGAGCTAAAACACAATAGATCCATTTCCATGTGAATAATATATTTTCGGAATCTGCCGTTTTGAAGAGACATTTCACTGATAAATGTATGGCCGTGTTATATATAGTTTCCTTTTTTGTTTGTCAACTTCATTCTTCGATATAATAAAGTACATTTTTAATAAATTCACCCTAAGTAAGGCAATAACGTCACAAAGACGCATCGAATGGGTCAATGGAAGGGAAAGAGAAGGAAAACACCAAATAATAGTACAAATCTGGAAGTTTAGGAGATGGTAGAAGTATAGACTTCTATTTATTTATCTAAATATGTTCCTGTCGATCGGAAATAGATAGATAGATAGATAGATAGATAGATAGATAGATAGATAGATAGATAGATACGTGAGTGTGAAAAGAGATGGATAGAGACTGAGGGCAAAAGGATATATATATAAAATATATATATATATATATATATATATATATATATATATATATATACGGACAGATGAAAGGGAAGATAGATAGATAGATAGATAGTAGATAGATAGATAGAAATATAGATAAACAACTAAAGAGATGGACAGATAGACTGAGGGCAAGGAGATAAATAGATAGATAGATAGATATATATATAATATATATATGAGACTGGAGCAAAATAAGATATATATATATATATATATATATATATATATATATATATAGATATATATATATATATATATATAATTATTTATTTAAAAATATGATTCCAAATAAATAAATAATTATATATATATTTATGCTATATTTTATATCGAGCACTATTTTTTTAAAATAATAACTAAAATACTAAGGGACTTTGGATTATTTACCTAACCAGTTCCTTCCTATTTTATATATATTATTTACCTAACAGTATATATATTTATATATATATATATATATATATATATACGAAAAAAGGCAAGCAGATCAATTGAGTTTGCGATTGAAATAGATAAATCATTATGAAACAAAACGAATAAACTCCTTATATTTGCCTTGATAAATGATGTCAGAAGACGAAACACTTCGTCTAACTTTTCTTTTTGTCTTATGAATGTGTTATTTTGCTTTTCGCTTGTTGGTATTGACTGGTTCTTCTGGATCAGATCGACCTGGGTTACTTATGCAAATGTTCGCTGACTCAGAAAATTAGATTGAAATTTCTTCCTCATTTCAACTTTGCTATAGGGCTGCAAAATCTGCACTCTATATCGTTGCGACATTGAAAACTTAGAAAGCTTTCACAAAAAAAAGCTTCGTTCTGTCTTGAACATCAAATGAAAAGAAAATGTGACCAACACCAATGTCCTGGAAGGAGCCTACTGCTAAAAAATCGAGTATATGATATTTTATTTGGTAAAAAAACCTACGAAAAAAATAGTTCAAACAAATGTTTGAGGTAATATTTATTTTATATGGGCAGATGAAACGAGCCAAATTTAAAAACAGGCGATAAATTTATTAACACACAAAAAAGGAATGAATTTACACACGCAATGTGTGCCAAATGATGGCCAATAAAAAGTTGTATGTAAATTATCAATGAAAATAAAATCTGCCTTTTGACAATAAATTTATAATACTGCATAAGAATTTCCTAAGAAAAGAAAACGACATAAAATGAAGAAAAGATGAAAATACTTCTCTGAATAGTTTTCAAAGAATAATTTGGTACAATTTTCGAAGCAAAGTTCCTGGTAACACCAAAGAATAGAACAAGCACACCAGTTGAAGAATTTTCTTTGATGTCGGAGCGACTTTGATGGTCTTTTCTCGTCTCGTGTTTGTTTAAAATTCTTCTATCTGAGTGGCAGTGACTTGGGTTCCTGCAGCTCAACTCCTCAAATTTTCTCCCAGGACTCCCTTAAATAATCTACAGATAGGCTCCAAATACACTTCTCGGAATTTGGAGGGACACTCTTTTATAAGTTTTGGATGAAAAAAAAAAACATACGCAGTTGTTTTACCCCAAATCGAAATGTACCAAAAATATTCTCGAAATTCAAAAATTGTGCAATTGCAGAAAAGCAGACGATAGACGCTCAAGCAGATTAAACAGACGATAGATTTATTGTTAACATACAAAAAATGAATTACACAAATTAAGTGCATTGTGTGCCAAATGATGGCCAATAAAATGTTGTATGTAAGTTATCAACGAAAATAAAATCTGCCTTTTTACAATAAAAAATATAATGTTACATAAGAATGTCTTCAGAAAAAAAAACGACATAAAATGAAGAAAAGATGAAAATACTTCTCTGAATAGTTTTCAAAGAATAATTTGATACAATTTTCGAAGCAAAGTTCCTGGTAACAGCAAAGAATAGAACAAGCACACCAGCCGAAGAATTTTCCTTGATGTGGAAGCGACTTGGGTTCCTGCAGCAGCAGACCGGCAACTACTCAAATTTTTTCCTAGAACCCCCTTAAATAACCTATAGGTAGGCTTCAAATACACTTCTCGGAATTTGGAGGCACACTCTTTTATACGTTTTGGATGAAAAAAAAATATGCAGTTGTTTTCTCACAAATCGAAATGTGCCAAAAATATACTCGAAAGAGCAAAATGCTTTATCCCAGGAAAGCAGACGATACACGCTCAAGCAGATTAAATTTCTTATAACATAGACATATTATAAATTATTTGAATCAAGATGATCCCGGGATTGAAAGAACATCTATACAGCGTAAAGAAAGGGTGCGTCTTCCGAGCCGCAACATCTTGTAAGCCGGAAAATACGGTATATATTTGTGGGTGTAAACTTTTAAGTTGGCTCCTCAGGAGGGTGATTGAGCCTTCGGCACCAAACAACAATGACAATTTCGAAGAAATAATTTCGAATTCCTCAATTCATTTCATGGAACTTCAAAATTTCACTTCAACTCTTATTCGGCCATTTTGTCCAGTTCCAATCAAAAGACCGATTTGGGCAGAAATTCCATTTCAGGCAGAAAATTAATCCTATTCCTTGGCAATATGAAAAAATAAAATTGATTTCCTCAATTCACAAAGTTTTGGAGATATTTTAAATTGAATTTAAAACATAAAAATTTAAATTCACAAAGGTTTTGCGTTACTTTAAACTCTATAAATTAAAAACTATTAAAATCACTATTTTTTTTTCAGTTATTTTAAAATTTGAATTTTTAACTGTTTCCTCTTCATCCGTTCATTAATCCCAATGCTGGATGTTCAAGCACCAAATGAAGGGCAGATTTTCGATCCCGAATCCCCCGGATTCCAAAAAGGTATATTATGTCTATGTAGAACAAGTGCGGCAAGAGTTAGAAGGGGTTTCAGACACACGAACGGACAGACAAAAATGTCCGTCTATTTAGAAGATATATATATATATATATATATATATATATAGATAGATAGATAGATAGATAGATAGATAGATAGATAGATATGTTGAAAGAAAGAAAGAAAGAAAGAAAGAAAGAAAGAAAGAAATGAAAAAGAATGAAAAAAAATTGAATTTTTAAATATTCCTTCGTCGTTGGGATCCCAATTTTGGAGATTCAAGGACAAGATGGAGGGCAGATTTTCAATCCCGGGTTCATCCTGATTCCAAAATAGTATAATATATATCTATATAAAGCAAGTGTAACCTGAGCTAAAGAAATTTCAAACCCGTCGACAGAATTTACTGTTTGGTCTCTCATTTGTATTTAGATACATTGAATTTATTTTCAATTTTTTCTATTTGTATTATTCGTCTATATTGCATGTAAGCCATTATTGTATTTAATTAGATTGCAATAAAATTTGTATTTTATATGAAATTAACCTTATGTTAGGATTTATTTAATATTATCTTTTGATTACACTGATTGGGAGGGAGATAGATGCGAATCGTAATGTTAATACAGCGAAACCTCGGTTCACGAATTTAATTCGTTCCTGAAGCCCGTTCGTAAACCGAAATGTTCGTAAATTGAACCTATTCTTCCAATAGGAATCACTGTAAAATAGATTAATCTGTTCCTGGTCCAAAGATGATTGTTTATTTAAACTTTAACAACAGTACTTTGTGCACAAGTTTATACACAAAACTAATGAAAATCATTAAATCTAAGAAAAAAATAAATAAACCCAATACTAAACAGATATAATATAGATGAACACTTCAATTTTACCTTGCCTGTAAGTAAGAGAGTTTATGGTGTAAGTGGAAAGGGAAGTAAAGAGATGTTATTGTTTGGAAAAGGGAAAGAAAGACATGATGGTCTCTTTATTTATAAGAATAGTATAGATCGTTGATTTTGTCGTATGAAACTGAGTAGGAAGAGACAATATCATCAATAATTGTTTTTCTCTTAACTTTTCATTTTACTTTACCAATATCACTGCTAGCTTTCTTTGGAGCCATGACTGAGGACTAATGAAGAGAGAAAAAAGGCACAGTAGATTAAAATTGGAAAAGAAAAGCACAGCACAATAAACGAATGTATACAACATGGCGGTCGACTAAGAAATGTTTCCGTTCGTGTTAACTCGGTTTGGCAATATTGTTCGAGAACCAAAATTTTGTTTGATAACAGAGGCATTTTCATCTCGAATATTATGTTCGAAAAACGATTTGTTCGACATGTGAGACGTTCGAGAACCGAGGTTTCTCTATATTACACAGGCACACAGACAGAATTTACCGTTTATTTATTTAAATTTTGCAGCATGTGTCCGCCGTAATTTCGATTGCATATGATGATAAGAAATATGTCCTTCGCCTGCATCAGAATGCACAACTTATTTATGTGTCGATGTCTCCCCAGGAATACCCCAGGCTTCTGGGTGGTAAGTCTTTTTATCGAGTCACCATCTTTAGACTTGGCTACCAAACAAGACAAAAACAGCCAAATCTGTCCTGCTATTTAACCCATACTCGGGAGAGAAGAAATGATTTCATTTAATGAGAGTGGGTGATAAGCACATACCCAAAACAACGACCGTATGAATAAATAAACGAAGCTAAGAGTCCAAAGAATAAAGTAAAAGTACGTTTTAAAGCTTCAAATATACAAGTCACTGACAGGTTTTAAAATCACTCAGTATAATTTATAGAGTAATACCATTGGCCGATTAAATGGAGTAGATTTATTTACGAGGGGGTGAAAGTCTTTGAGGAAAACAGGTACCATCACGCAAAGGTGAAAAGGGTTGCAAGAAAAGGGGTTGATAATGGCTGATGGCAACTGACTTCTCTGTTTGATATTTGTAGCCGTGTCTGTCTCCCTCAAGCTTGCCTGACCAAACTATATGAAAAGCCAGAGTCTAAGACGTCCAACTGGTGACACGCAACTATTTTCACCAGATTTATTCTGTCCATTTTGTGATAAACTTTATAGAAATTAGTAGCCATTTGTGAATTCAGACAACATCAAGGCACAATCCAAAAAAAGAGTTTTACGGCCGTATATATCGAGGAATAAAGTCTAAATTATTTGCAGGGTTCAACGTATGGGTCACGTGTACCGATTTCATTGATTTTTCTTTTCGGCTTCTGTCTCGATTTCTGAATATTGTAACTATTT